GAATCAGGTCACAGAAGAGAGCCTGTGAGGTCTCCACAAGTTGGCTCTGTCTCTCAACAGAGGCTCACTATTTCTCCCTGGTGATCTGTTTTCCTTGCATCTTCACATCTAGCTTTGGGTGGCCTTCAATTTCTTCTATCCACTTGTGTCTAGAAGTTGGGACAGCTTTATTGCTGTTAGTCACCAATTACCACAATATCCTTTTGGTTTTCTTTGATCCTCCCCACACCTCTGTAATCCACCTCTTTGTAATACACCCTCCAGGAATGATTCTATTTATTACTGAGTGTGACTTTGGTTTCCTGTTGGAACCCTGAATGATATGTTCACCAACATATTATCATGGTTCTGTCCTTTTGTCCAAGGTCACAACACATACACATGATTTTCTCCTGGACTTACACAGGCTGTGTCTGTTGGTTTAGTCACTATGTCATATCCAAAACTCTGTGACTCCACAGACCGTAGCTCTCCAGGCTCCTCAGTCCTTGGGATTTCCCAGGCAAGAATACTGGAGTCAGTTGCCATTTCCTTCTCCAGGGTATCTTCCCGACTCAGGGGTCAAACCCGCATCTCTTACATTGGCAGGCAGATTCTTTACTGCTGAGGCACCAGGGAAGCCCCGTAGACTATATACTTGACAGGAACTTCAAAGTCACACTCTTGGAAGCCAACTGACTCATTCTTACTGGTCATATTATTTAATCACTAGATCTTACTGAAATGGCCCTCAACCTGTCCTACTTTCCATCTTTACCACCTCTCACTTTTAGGTTAAGTATTATAGCATTTCTCACTTAAACTGTGAAACGAATCTTTTAAATATTAATAATTTCCTTGTCATCTGCCTCACTACTACTAAATCTGTCTTCCACTCTAGTAGTGTGAATTACTATCCTACCTTGCAAAGCTGACCCCAAAACATTGCTCAGGTACTCTTTCATCAAAATAATAAAATTCAAATCATCTTTACAAGTATCTTTCTCGTTAACTTCAACTTCAATTATCTTACTACTCATCTCTTGACATGATTGCCCTGTAGTCTCATAGCTATCCACCAAGTCCTTCCCTCTTTAATTTCTGAAAGTGCCATATTCACATTCCTCTGAACATGTCATAGTAGTTTACTTCTCCATGTCTTTGTATATGTTGTTTTTACATGCTGTATTCATTATAGAGCAATATCTCCTTATGTTATATTTATTCATATAATGACTCTTCCTTTATGAAACCTTCCTGATTCCAAATCAACTTTACTACCCATTCCTTTGAATGCCTGCAACACAGAGACCCAGGTTCCATCCCTGGGTCGGAAAGAGCCCCTGGAGGAGGGAACAGCTACCAACTCCAGGTTTCTTGCCTGGAGAATTCCCTGGGTAAATATGACTATATATGTAAATGTAATAAACAAGCTAATGTACTTAAATTACTTACATTATTTTTACTTGTTGCTAAACTTAAACTCCTCAAAAGTAGAGGCTGTTTAAAAATATCACTTCAAGTTTAATGGAATTGGAACTACCTTATCATAAAGTATTGATCCATCACATTATTTACTCTTTTCACATAAAGAATATATTTTTAAAAATAAAAGTTCTACATTTAATTTTTAAATATCAATAAATCATATTTGAGTGTATTGTCTTTAAACAATTCTCCAGGCTATGTAATAATAACCAAAATGGCAACCTTATTTTCCTCTTAGACAAAGAGAAATTTTTGACTGCAAGCCAGAGAAAAAATCAGTATCATAGACATGATGGTTCCTTAAAATTTTTTTCTCTCTCTATTCTGGCTATGCCTATACTATAAAATGTTACATGTCAGTAATCATAATTCACTTGCCTAGGGGCATCTATTGCAATAAAATTAAGGGTTACATTTCTATGTATTCAAGTTCCTATTAAATTAAAACCAGAATCAGTATTATTTAGACACATTTTTGTCTGTTTTTAGTTACTAGATTAAACTTAACTCCCATCCACTATTGATTATCAATAAATGAAAGCTTTTCACAGTTTTAAAGTATTCCTGAATTTCATAAATCTTGCACACTTTAACTCTTTCTCAGAGACACCATGCTAATCAAGATATTAAACATAATTGATTCAAGCTAGAGACTGAGCAACTTCACTTTCACTTTTCCTTTCATGCATTGGAGAAGGAAATGGCAACCCATTCCAGTGTTCTTGCCTGGAGAATCCCAGGGACGGGGGAGCCTGATGGGCTTCCCTCTACGGGGTTGCACAGAATCGCACATGACTGAAGCGACTTAGCAGCAGCAGCAGCAGCCTTTGTCTTTGCATTTAAAGGATAAACAGAAAATAATTTGTGAGTAGCAAATACACATTGGGCTTCCCAGGTGTGTTAGTGATAAAGAAGTGGCCTGCTCATGCAGAAGACCCAGGAGACATGGGTTTGATCCCTGAGTCAGGAAGATCTCCTGGAGGAGGGCTTGGCAACCCACTCTGGTATTCTTGTCTGAAGTGTCCCATGGACAGAGAAGCCTGGCAGGCTACAGTCCATGGGGTCACAAAGAACTGGACACAACTGAAGTGATTTTGCATGCATGCAAACACATATTATACAGATTAATATAATCATTTACAACTAAAATACAATACTGTTCTCTAAAGTAGCAAATAAAATTAAACAGAAAGTAATCCTGTGTTATACAGATATTTAAAACTATTTAGATATCCTTTATTAATTTCAAAGACCAATTTCAAGTGACTCTAAACTTGAAGCTTAGGAATCCATTTATAAGTTTTCTTCAGAAAAGATTCATGATTCCTCATGACCAGTATTTAACTATAAATCATAAACTGGAAAACTGGAAAATTTCAAGAAAGTATTATACAAAGGTATCCTGTTATCACAAAACCTTAATTAATAGCTGCATGAAACTGTGAATATAGCAAATTTTAGAAGTGATTATGCAAACATTGAAGGAAGAGCATCAGACTTATTTCTTTTTGTGAATAAAGCATCAAGAGTCTTGGCTAGGAATTATATAGTGAAAAGCACCATCAAACAAGCAAATTAAAAACTGCTTGAAGCTCTCTCAAGGTTGCATTCTAATATCCTTGAAAGGAGACACTTGAAAAATATAAGACCTCCTGAAATTGACAGTCTGTGTTATACTATTAACCTACTAAATAGACAGAGGAAAACATTTGCACAGAAAGTGTTTTGAAACTTGTTATATCAAAACAAATATATATATTATGAAGTGCAATTCAACATTTTTGTGATTTAAAAAAATAATAATAAAACAAGAAACCTCCAAAGATTGCACACCCAGAACCAAATCCCCAGAAACAGAATATAGAGTAGTTTTAGAGGGCAGGCCCTGCAGTCTCCTGCCCAAGAGTCAGTTTCACCACCGCTAATTCATTCATTGTGAGCCTCACTTTCCACATCTCATGCCAAAATAACTCATGAAGACTGTGATAATCAGCTGAGATAGTTAATGTAGAGCACAGAGCTCAGTCAATTCTAATCAGTTGATAAATGTTTATTATTATTATAGCAATGATAGGTATTGTGGTATTTCCTTCTCTAGAGTCAGAGATTCCCCTGTGCCCTTGAGGTCTTTTGGTGAAAAGTTTAAGAAGTTTTGATACACAGAAGCATAAGATATCTCTCCAAATATCTTATTCCCTTTTCTGGTAATCAGGTTATATTTTCAACTGCTGAATCCATTATCTAAGAAGCATTTCCTACCGTCTCAGTCTTTGAAACCCTACATGTCCTACTGTTAGGTTCTCTTTCTTTTTTAGCTTCTTCCCTGATTATATGCGGTAAAAGTAACTTCTTCTTCTACTGCAGGAACGGTGTTTCATTTACAATTTTAAGTGCTTATAATTATCTAGAAATAAGCACTGTCTCCTTTTCTTCTAATAAACAATCTAATGAAATGAATATTATTATCAGTACCATTTTTCAGGTGAAGAAAATTAGGGTTGTATATGGTATATTTATTGCACAAAGTCACCAGAAAGGAAGTAGCTAAAAAGTGGCTGAGACATTAATAACCTCCTACCATATCCACTTTCCAAAATCACTTTTCCCTAAAGGCTGTCTCAGATATGCCACTAAGAGACCATCTTGTGTTGTCACTATTCCTATCCATGGCTTTTTTCCCTTATTCTGAGCTCCAAGAATTCCAAAATTCTTATGCTGATCATTATCTAAAACAATAGGCCAATCAGGAACCAGAGATAGGGGAAAAAATTGCTTTTTATCTGACCTCGCTGAACATAAGAAATACTAACATTCTCAAGGGAAATGTGCATGGAGAGATTTAAAGACTATAAAAATTCAGAGAATTGTCTTAACTTTCAGAAGTGATGCCAAAGAAATCTGAATCTTTGGCATGTCACTATTGATGACACATGTTAACTTCCACAGGGTCATGAGATAAATCGTAACCTGAACCACTTGTTTCCAAAGCTTTTGTTTCCTCTGAAGGCTGACATGGTGTGTTGTATGAAATCACAGGTCCCGTTATACCTACTGCAATCAATACTGCAATTAAAGGGAACTAGTACCTGAAGGAATTGATCAGACAGATGCAAGTCTATTTTCTCCACTTTCTATAAATTCAAAACAACAAAATAGCAAAGAAAATATATTTCACACACACAAAAAAAAACCCTGATGCTTCCTAACAGAAAGAGTTCATTAAGATATAAATCAAAAAAATAAAGTTTTATACAGATGACAAACATTTAAGTAGTCATTTGCAAGAATAGAAAAAAGCAAACATTGCTTTTAGTCAACAGGGTCTACATCTTTCATATTTTACACATTCAGTTGTTCAACACAGAACTGACATAGTGCTTTGCACTTTTAGATTTATCAATAAGATTAAGATATCAATGTCAAGTTAACATACAGTTGAGATCAGCTTTTGCTAGCTACATGAGAGGAGGTCTTTGATTTGCCTGGGCAAATTCAATAGCAACTCATTAGGTGTAACTATGACTTATTACTTTTCTTAGAAGATAATGCCTCAATATTTTGCCCTATGAAATAAAGCAAACGATTTCATGTAGTCTTAGAACTGAAGTGAATTTCAAATATCATTGTAGAAAGTGCCTTAGGGGTTCTAGTAAAGGATTCACAGAGTTTGAAGACAAAGTCAAATAAAGGTTACCCTCTGAAACTGAAAGTTATAAAGACCATAACATTTTAATATCATATTTAATTAAATATATTAAGTGCATTCTATACAATTTACATGTGTCCTCATATTGATTGTCTTTACTAATGGATTATATTATTATTTAGTGAGATATCTTTGTTGTGAGCAACAGAAACGACTCAAGCTTAAGCAAAAAAAAGAAAAATATTGTGAAAAAAATGGAAAGAAACAGTGTTATGAAAACCACACAGGATTGCAGATGAACCTCAGACACTGACTAAAGCTCGGAAAAGTAAACTATTAAGCATTTTTCTCTGTCAGTGATGTTTCTTTTGCATAACTTCATTATTCTTCTCTATTTTTTTTATCCATATAGGATATCATGGCCATATCTCAGCTCCCAATTCATGTTCAAATGTTGTCTATAAACTAGACTCATTTGCTGTCTTATTCCAATTCTAAAGTCCAAGAAAAAAAGAGAGAATCTAGTTAGCATCAATCGTTTCATGTGTCCAATCCAAACAAATCATCAGTGCCTCAGAGGCAACATTGCCTGCCCTATATGGCTACCATGAATTACTTGTGATAAGTAGAGTCAATACAATTATTAATTGGAAAGATAACCCAAACCATATTGAACTATAGTAACCCATTTACAGTAGTAACCTATCCAAAGAGCCAAGACATTCTACCCAATCCAATTAAAGAAATCAACCACACCTAAATTTCCTGGAAAACTATAAGCCGGTCAATTCTTTTGCGGTGTTTCTGAGGCAGTTTCCCTATTTCAAAACAAAATAGCTGTGGCCTACATGGAACTTAAGAATAGCTTATACATTAAAAATGAGAACATCCTAAGCAGCTTTGTGTAAGAAAGTTATTTTGTTGCTAGGTCATCTGACCCCAGAGACTGCAGTACAACATGCTTCTCTGTCCTTCACTATTTCCCAGAGCTTGCTCAAACTCATGTCCATTGAGTTGCTGATGACATCCAACCATACCATCCTCTCTCAACCCTTTCTCTTCCTGCCCTCAATCTTTCCCAACATCAGAGTCTTTTCCAGTGAGTTGGCTCTTCACACCCAGTGGCCAAACTATTAGAGCTTCAGCTTCAGCATCAGTCCTTCCAGTGAATACTCAGGGTTGATTTCCTTTAGGAGTATGATCTCCTTGCTGTCCAAAGGAATCCCGAGAGTCTTCTCCAGCACCACAATTCAAAAGCATCAATTCTTCAGCACTCAGCCTTCTTTATGGTCCAAATCTCACAATCGTACATGATTACTGCAAAAACCGTATCTTTGACTATATGGACCTTTGCTGATGTCTCTGCTTTTTAATACGCTATCTAGGTTCGTTATATCTTTTGTTCCAAGGAGCAAGTGTCTTTTAATTCCACGTCTTTAGAGAATGGCCATCATGAATATTCAAGCAACTAAACAGATATCTATGTACAAAATGAAAATTTACTCCATCCTGGATTAAATATTATTTCTTAAGACCACCCAGCTCTTTACTTTCATGAATACCTGACAGTCATTTAACATACAAGTTCAATTTCCCTAGTAGCTTCACATAAGGAAAATATTGACCTGAAATGCAGACACAGGATTTCTCATCACTAGCAAAGCATTATCACAACTGTAAACCAACCTATATCTAATTTATAAATGAGTAATATACTGTTTATTGTAACCCAGTGTTTTATTTTTTTTTCCATTTATTTTTATTAGTTGGAGGCTAATTACTTTACATCATTACAGTAGTTTTTGTCATACATTGAAATGAATTAGCCATGGATTTACATGTATTCCCCATCCCGGTCCCCCCTCCCACCTCCCTCTCCACCCGATCCCTCTGGGTCTTCCCAGTGCACCAGGTCCGAGCACTTGTCTCATGCACCCAACCTGGGCTGGTGATCTGTTTCACCCTAGATACTTTAAAAAATGATCACCTCTGAATGAACTAATCCCTAAACCATTGCTGTTTTAAGTAAAAGAAAATATTCAATCACAGAAAAAGGAAAACACATTCTCAAGAAATGCCTCTTATCTAGCTGATCCAGACCAATCACAATTAACATTTACTGAAGCTGGAAAAATTACTCTCTTATAATGACACTCTCTCAAAAAAAAAAAAAAAAAAAAAAAAAAAACAGGTTTTAGTAGATCATTTAAGGCATTATATTTCAAAATGTGACTGAGTCTAATATTTATTGACAAGATGTCTAAGTGAAAATTCTTATAGCAAGTGTGCTCATACAATTAAGGTACCATGTGTGCGTTATAATGAAAGCTCTATAATGGAATTTAAAATGACTAACTCGAAATTGCACCAAACCTACTTGAAATGTTAATAAATTACTTTTGAAAAAAACAATTACTTTGCAACTATACAAGCATACGTACATTATATGGAATCTACTTTTGAGCAGCTGAAGAAGAAAGACATAAATTGTGATTGAAATGGTAGCTCCAATTTATTCTTTTCACTAATGTTGAGATTTGACTTTAGTATGATTAATGATGATTATAAACAAGGAATTTAAAGGGTCATCAGGTGAAAAAGTCTAATCAGGGAACTTCAGAATACTTTAAATTATTGGTTTCCACTTCTCTGTTACTTGAAGAACCCCCTTTTTTTTTTCTTTTTGGTTTAAATATAGGTCAAACCCAATATATAAAGCTAATATAACCAGAGTATGTTCTGACTAATATTAAAGATGAGAAGTATAGGCCCACCCTATTAAATCCTTCTGTCTTGGGGTAAGCTGACTTTTATTTATCTACTTATAACTCTAAAGCCTTCAAACCATTGTTGAAATTATGTTTCTTCTTATGGCTTCCATTACTTTTTACAACAAATTTCAAACACATCAATACCAACATTTATAGCATTTGCAGCATTTAAAGGAGCTGTATCCTACTTTCTGGAGTACATTTTTTCTAAACTACTCCTTGATTTGTGATCATTTAGTTTCTTCCCATGAGATGGTTTATAGATATCTGGTAAGCACCATCTTTTCATAATACCTTCCACTATCATGAACAAACAGATCCAGGCTAGAACTTCTTTTTCTTCACTTGTAACTGAGAAGAGTGTTTACATTAGTTGAGGAAGATCAAGGTGACTTACCAATATGTCTGTTTACTGTTTCTTGTTACTGGAACATGTTTTCATCCATTCAGGAAGTCCTGCAAAACATCACTATTGATTACTTCAATTTACTACATTCAAGTGATAGAGTGTTTGGGGCCATGATATAATGGCAGTATAGTTAGCATAATAGCAATGTTGTGCTCTATCTTTCCTGTTCTTTATTTGAAAAACAATGTTAACAAATAAGATAATAATGCCATGTTTATTATAGTTACTGACCTACCTAAATTCTTAAACACAATGCTCATAAATATCCCCCCAACATCCAGTTATAATAATCCTGTTTATTTACTATCATTAATAAAGTATGAAATTTAACTGCATATCCTCCAGAATATACAGGAAAAGATATATATGCTAGAAGAGAAAAAAGGAGGAGTAGGAGGAACACAAGCAGAGGATGCTGGTTATAGTCTACTTTATTGCTTTAAAAAATATGTAATTATGAAAAGAGATGACAAGTCACAGAGAAAAAATAATTGCAAAATGTATATCTGATAAAGGACTATTATCCAAAATGTACAAATGTACTTGAAATTTGACAATTAAATAATAAAAGCAACTTTTAAAAGGGTCAAAGACTTTAACACAAGAAGATATAGAGATGGCAAATAAGCGTATGAAAACATGTTCAACATCATAAGCCATCAGGGAAATGCGAATTAAAACACCACCAAAATACCACTACATATCTATTTCAATGGCCAAAATCAACAACACTGGCAACACCAAATCCTGGCTAACATGTTGAGTAAAAGGAATTCTCATTTATTATGGGGAGGAATGCAAAACTGTACAGCCATTTATTGTCAAAAGCAGTTTGCCAGTTTCTTCCAAAACTAAATGTAATTTTACCATAATCCATTAATCACACTACATTTAACCCTTGAACAACATGGGTTTGAACTGTGTGGGTTCCCTTATACACAGATATTTTCCATGAATTTATTGAAAATTTTTTGGAGATTTTTGACAGTTTGAAAAAACTCACGGCTGAACTGCGGACCCTAGAAATATTCAAAATATTAAGAAAAAGGTGTGTCATGAAAGCATAAAATATATGTAGATAGTAGTTGATCCTTACTTAGGTATAGGTGAGTGATACTTAATATAAAATTTAAAACGTGCTAGTTTTTTTTTACTTGTTGATAACTTTGCTTTCAAAGAATTATATGATCTTGCAGGATGCCCCTCTTTCTGGTAATTAGAGAAAATAACTTATCATTACAAAGTGTTTTTCTCAAACAAACATTTCCAATCCTTAATTATGACTGTAATACTGTATGCCATAAAAGCATTACAACCATTTTTTCATTAATTTATAGGTTAGCTATCATGAAGTAACCATATTGCTGCTTCTTTATTATCAAAGCATGAGTCATTACACCTATACATAAATATAAATTTCTTGTTTACATTTTTATTTTATGTCAATGTTACTAATTTGCATAACATATATATTGTTTTGTATCATATAATACAATACTGATGTATGTACTGACAGAAGTTTTGTCTTGTAAACAGACAATGTAAACTACAACTCAATAAATACAGTATACTACTGCCGATATATTTTTTCCTCCTTATGATTTTTAATAATATTTTCTTTTCCCTGGCTTACTTTATTGTAAGAATACAGTACATGATAGGTATAACATACAAAATGTGTTCAGTTCAGTTCAGTCACTCAGGTGTGTCCGACTCTTTGCGACCCCATGAACCGCAACACGCCAGGCCTCCCTGTTCATCACCAACTCCCGGAGTTTACACAAACTCATGTTCATTGAATTGGTCATGCCAGCTAACTATCTCATCCTCTGTCATCCACTTCTCCTCCTGCCTTCAATCTTTCCCAACATCAGGGTCTTTTCAAATGAGTCAGCTCTTCACATCAGGTGGCCAAAATATTGGAGTTTCAGCTTCAACATCAGTCCTTCCAATGAACACCCCAGGACTGATCTCCTTTAGCATGGACTGGTTAGATCTCCTTGCAGTCCAAGGGACTCTCTAGAGTCTTCTCCATTACCACAGTTCAAAAACATCAATTCTTCTGTGCTCAGCTTTCTTTATAGTCCAACTCTCACATCCATACATGACTACTGGAAAAACCATAGCTTTGACTAGACGGACCTTTTTTGGCAAAGTAATGTCTCTGCTTTTTAATATGCTGTCTAGGTTGGTCATAACTTTTCTTCCAAGGAGTAAGCATCTTTTAATTTCATGGCTGCAGTCATCATCTGTTGTGATCTTGGAGCCCCAAATCCACAGGACTGGAGACAACTCATTGCTAAATGAGTGAATGATGTCATAATCAGTGCATATAATGATGTCATAATCAGTGCAAATCAAGTGACAGCTTGCTATTCCCATCAGGGATGGGGAAGTAATGACAGAAAAACAAAACTTTAGTTTTAACAGGATGAAGGTAGAGTGTTAACCAGAGATCTCAAAGTTTTTGTAGGAGGCAAATTGATAGTCTTTTAAATTACTCCTAATCTACATTATTATTCAAGTTCTAAAGGATGGGTTTAAAGAAAGATATCACATAATTGCTTATGATTTTTTTTCTATTAAGCATCAACTTCTTAGAGAACAAAAAAGGTCTTGCAGCACCAATCTGGGTATCTGAAGGTATCTGCTTATTGAGATAGTCTTAGTCCTACTCTGGTTATTAAAAGGAAGGTGGTAATATTGGCAGATCTTCAATGTAAGTCAGAACTAGTAGAAGCAATGCCCCAAGAGTCACTTGACCAGAAAGCTGAAATTAAAAATAAATTGTTATATTTAGATCCTTATGCTGATTTTTGTTCAAAAGTATGATTTTTATTTTTTATTTATAATAATTAGTAGTTAAATTAGTCAGGATCACTCCCTTAATAGCACACCTCCCAACATTTCAGAATATCCTCCTTGTACTGTACTCACTGCCAAACTTCAGGTCCAGTTACTCCCCTAAGCCAGGGGTCAAGCCACTTCAATTTCTATTTTTTAGCTCAGTGATTTATCAGTAGTTTTGCATCATCTATCTAAGATTACTTTTTATAAACTAAAAAATAATTTGGTCAACATTTATTATCTTATCTACTATTTATTTGGTTGAATCTTCCTTTTTGCATTGCAAGAGGAAAATAAAGAAAATTCAGGGTGATAATAGACTGCCTTTTTTCTCTCAGCAATAAAGTTCAACTACCTGAGGTGAGGTGTCATTTCAACAATATTCACCAATTTTGTTTACATATAAAGTACAGCACCAGCCAAGCCTACTAGTGATTACTGCTTTAATGAATTATTTTGATTGCTTTTTCAGAAAAGCTCTCTGTTTTACTCAATACCTTAAATCCTCTTCAATTATTGAAATGCTGATTTAAATTCTCTCTCACAGACTTGTAGATTTTTCTTAAATCATCCTCACTGTTTCCTAATAGTATGTGTTTATCTAACAGAGGAATACCTGCCTTGTCTCAGTGTAATTATTCAAGCCACTCAAGTAAATTTAAAATTACTCTCTTCTGGTTAAATTACACATTTAAAAAATTTAACTGAAAACCAGCTGTGAGAACACCCTTTCTTTATTATCATAACATTTTATTTTTTAATTGCTTAAAAGTTGTTGCTAGTGAGAAATATAGAGTCTGCCTTCTTTGAATTAAGCAACACCCATAACAAATATTCAAACATGTCATCACTTCATCATTTATTAAATGCAGGATACTATAACCAGAAATGTATTCTTTTTAAAAAATAACTTTTTTCCAATATAATCAGTTGTCTTCTGAATATGAGTGCTTACTCTTAGAAATTTAAGAAAGTAAATAAGAGTGTAAACATTAACTATAATCTCACACCAGTGATATAATTTTCAATACTTTGATGTCTATGTTTCCATTCTATTTTTATATACACACATTTTTATGCCTACGTGTTCAACCTTAGAAAGAAAGCTGGAGTCAAGTTTATGATAGTGTTTCACATTCAGCTCCTTTGTCAGTATCATATCCTAAGATTACAGAAGAAGAAGTCTTCGAGCCTCTCATGCTTGAAGTAAGATCACAGCCAACCTTAGGTGTCAAATTACTCCTTAACTTGTAAACACTCAAAGACCATTCCTTAACCAAAGAACACTCAAATGCTGCTCAGACCTCCCAGACCAGTCTCCATCAGCCATTTCACAAGAGCTGAATTCTCAGAGAATAAGAGCATCTCTAGTCAGGCTTCCATTATATCTTCTACCGAAGTCAAAAGGGGTTCTTGATCATCTTCCTCTACGGTCCCTTCCTCACTCAAAACTTTATCATCACTGCTTGCCTTAAGATCACCAGCACAAGTCCCATTATGTCACTTTTCCCTTTCTCTTGCTGCTGCTGTTGTTATTTAGTCATTTAGATGTGTCCAACTCTTTGCAACTCCGTGGGCTGCAGCCCATCAGGTCCATGAGATTTCCCAGGCAAGAGTACTGGAGTGGGTTGCCATTTCCTACTCCAGGGATCTTTCTGACCCAGGGATGGAACCACNATATGCAAAACAGAAAAAGAGACTCAGATGTATGGAACAGACTTGTGGACTCTGGGAGAAGGAGAGGGTGGGATGTTTCAGGAGAACAGCATTGAAACATGTATATTATCTAGGGTGAAACAGATAACCAGCCCAGGTTGGGTACATGAGACAAGTGCTCGGGCCTGGTGCACTGGGAACACCCACAGTCTTTTTAGCACTGGGCCTGAAGCGGGAAGGTTTCCTTACCCTAATTGCCATTTTCAGACTCTTCCCTCTTGCCTTCACTATCTCCAGCTTTGAATATTGTGTCATTAGGCTATAAGAAACTTGGTGCAGTTATCTACTGATCCCTCTTATTTATGGACAATTTTAACTTTCTCTAACTGAGATAGTTAGACAACATCACCAACTCAATGAACATGAAATTTGAGTCAACTCCAGAAGATTATGGAGAACAGAGGAGCCTGCTGTGCTGCAGTCCATGGGGTCACAAAGAATGGGACATGGCTTAGTGGCTGAACAACACCTGTATTATTATCTTCATGTTTTATGATCTTAATATCCATGTAGGCAATACTTTCAACACACTAGCATTTTGATTTATTTTGAATGATCTCCACTCACATTTATATTAATTCCCCTGGCTACAACTTTGCCTTTGTCATTACCAATTAGTGCAAACCTATGATCTCAGTTTCAAGAATTCCATTCTTTGATAATGAGTGCAAGTCACACAGTCATGTCTGACTCTTTGCAACCCCCTGGACTATACAGTCCATGGAATTCTCCAGGCCAGAATATGGGAGTGGGTAGCTGTTCCCTTTTCCAGGGGATCTTCCCAACCCAGGGATTGAACCCAGGTCTCCCACTTTGCAGGTGGATTCTTTACCAGCTGAGTCACAAGGGGAGCCCAAGACTCTCTGTTAATCTGTGATATTTGGTAAGGCCACAACACTCTGCAAATGCAAGGCTTCCCAGGTGACATTAGTGAAAAAGAATCCACCTTCAGTGCAGAAAACCTGGGTTCGATCCCTTGGTCAGAAGATACCCTGAAGGAGTGTGTGGCAACCCATTCCAGTATTCTTGCCTGAAGAATCCCATGGACAGAGAAGCCTGGCGGGCTACAGTCCCTAAGGTCGCAAAAAGTCAGACAGGACTGGAGCAACTTAGCACATATACAGCACAACACTCTGTACCATATTTGGAACCTGAATCTGAGTAAAGAAAATGTGAAACCATACAAGTTGGTTTCACTTTAAATCCATGCCTGGAATATTGAGGAGCTCTACTATTTCTTGATAATTATGACACATATCTGTAATTCATTCATTTTTGACCCTGCTAGGTACACATGACTCTTTCAAGAATCATCTTTTCCATCTTTGTTTTCAATACAATCTGTTGAGAAAACTTAAGTGAGCAGAAGACTGCTTCTACAAGACATAAAATTGACTCACCTATTCATAGGCTCTGCCTTCTTTCAGTTCAGTTCAGCCGCTCAGTCATGTCCAACTCTTTGCGACCCCATGAACTACAGCACGCCAGGCCTCCCTGTTCATCACCAACTCCCAGAATTTACCCAAACTCATGTCCATTGAGTCAGTGATGCCATCTAACCATCTCATCCTCTGCCTTACCCTTCTCCTCCTGCCTTCAATCTTTCCCAACATCAGGGTCTTTTCAAATGAGTCAGCTCTTCACATCAGGTGGTCAGAATATTGGAGTTTCAGCTTCAACATCAGTCCTTCCAATGAACACCCCAGGACTGATCTCCTTTAGCATGGACTGGTTGGATCTCCTTGCAGTCCAAGGCACTTTCAAGAGTCTTCTCCAATACCACAGTTCAAAAACATCCATTCTTCAGCTCTCAGCTTTCTTTATAGTCCAACTCTCACATCCACACATGACTACTGGAAAAACCATAGCCTTGACTAGATGGACCTTTGTTGACAATGTAATGTCTCTCCTTTTTAATATGCTGTCTAGGTTGGTCGTAACTTTTCTTCCAAGGAGTAAGCGTCTTTTAATTTCATGGCAGCACTCACCATCTGCAGTGATTTTGGAGCCCCCAAAAATAAAGTCGTCAGTGTTTCCACTGTCTCCCCATCTATTTCCCATGAGGTTATGGGACCAGATGCCATGATCTTAGTTTTCTGAATGTTGAGCTTTAAGCCAAATTTTTCACTCTCTTCTTTCACTTTCATCAAGAGGCTGTTTAGTTCTTCTTCACTTTNCCAATTCTTGCCTGGAGAATCCTATGGACAGAGGAGCCTGGAAGACTACAGTCCATACAGTCACAAAGAGTCTGACATGACTGAAGCGACTTGTATGCATGCACACATACTCATAATTCTCAAACGTTATCTCTAGCTCTGACTTTCCCCCTGAACTCTAGATTCAGAAATCCAATTGCATACCACCACCACCATGTGTAAAAGTCAACTTGAATTTAACATTCTTCCTGTAGCTTAGTTAATTTATTGCCAGACTGGGGATAATACATACTGGGGATAATACTCATTTAACAATATTGTTGGATAGCAATTATATATATATTATATATATATATATATGTATATATATACACACACACATAAATAATTATGTATGTATTTATAATGAATTGGACAGTCTGTTTTTTCCCCTCCAAGATCTAGATAAGATTTGGTGGTTTGAG